ATTTTAGCATCATTATCAACATTTCAACAAATGTGGATATCGAAACAAGAATATGATGAATCAGGTCCATCAATTGTTCATCGAAAGTGCTTCTAAGAAAAAATAACAATAATTTTGACCAAACTTATTCTTATCCGTTCATTTTCTTTTCCGTTTATTCTTTCGTGTGTATGTCTTGCATTGTCTATCATAACATTTTTTTTTGTTCTCTTTTAAAAAATAAAATATATATATATATATTACAATACTGTCTTCTTTTGTTATTATCAAATATATCATCGATCGACAAACAAACAAACAAACAAACAAAAAAAAAATGAATATATCTAGTTCACAATTATTAGAAGAACAATAAAAAAAACCATTATGAAGAACGAAATTTTCCAATAGCCGCTTGCATCAATTCAACCTAGAAAAAAAGAATAAATATAATGAAAAGTTTATTCTTAAAAACAAGAAAAGAAAAGAAAAGAAAAGAAAAGAAAACAATAAAAAATAAGCTAATAATTTGACTGTACATGATATGGTTTTTATAAATGACAAATGAATCCAATAAAACTCTTTTATCTCAAATAATCTTTTATAATTGTGTTTCTGAATAAGAAGTATTGTCAAAGCCAGTCAACATGTTCATTACCGGAATAGGAAATACAATGGTTGAATTTTTTTCTGATGCAATTGTTGTTAATGTTTGTAGATAACGTAGTTGAAGAGCTGTTGGTGATTGCATGATAACGTCAGCAGCATCTTTTAATGCTCTAATTATATCAAAGAAGAGAAATTACTGAATAGAAGAACAAAAATATCTAATAAACTATAATACCTAGATGCCTTTTGTTCACCTTCAGCAGCAATTACTTTAGCACGAGCTTCTCGTGCTGCTTCTGCTTCAGCTGCCATAGCTCTATTAATCAAAACAAAACAATTGATTAGTAATCTGTATAGATTTTTTACATACCTTTGAAGTTGAACAGGTAATCGAACATCTTTACTATAAGATCGAAAAACAAAAATTATCTAATTAGAATGTTGAAAATAAATAACTTACACTTCGACACGTTCAACTCGAACTCCCCAACATTCAGTACCTTCATCCAAAGCAGCCTAAATGAAAATATATATATAGAAATACTTTGTTTTTTAATCAAGATAATAATATATACCTGCATTGTTTGTGCAATGGATTCTCGATCAGAAAGAATCTCTTGTAAAGATTTAGTACCAAGACTAATATATAGAATAAAAAATATAATATTTAAAACTCATATGATTTATGAACTCATATTACTAACACATTACGTAAGCTGGTAGCCGCAAGCAATTGTGTGCTTTTTGGAGCATCCTCAACATTCGTAATAGAAATAACAGGATCGAATACTCGGAAATAAACCACAGCATCGACGGCAACAGTGACTGAATCTTTAGTTAAAATCTAGATATATATATAGATAGATAAACAATAGAAATAGTTTATATTAATGATTCAAAACAAACCTCCTGTGGTGGTACATCAAATGTCACGGTTCTTAAATCAACTTTTGTATAAGCATCAACGCAGGGAACTATAATAAACAGACCAGGCCCCTATATAATTCAAGTAGAGATAATAATAAATATGATCTATATGAATAAGATATACCTTGGCACCACCAAGGATACGACCAAGTCGAAACATAACAGCTCGTTCATATTCTTGGACGACCTATTATGTACATATATAATATAAAAATCCATTAATAATCAATCCTATATGAATTATCAAGAAAAGAACTAGTTCTTACTTTAAGACAAACAGTTAGTGAAAATGGAAAGGTTAAACAGATGAGCGCATATGATAGTATAAGTAATATATATCCACAAAGGCCAAGACTGTAATCTTCATGAGAACCTAAACAAAACAAAATATACTTAGATATAATAATTTAAGAAAAAAATAGAGTTTTATTTATTAATAAAAATACGATTACTACTTTGTGTTTGAGGCATTGACGATTGAAGAGTATCGATTACAGGCATATGATGACGGTATTGTCCGTGTAATTCACGGTTTCTATTTACGTCTTCTATTACCATTTTAGTAATAGTCGTCTATATTGCTTTTGACATTATTAGCTCTCATGCGAAACAATGAGAATTGATGCTGCTAACTACTTTATTGTCGTTTTGTGTTCTGGTAGCTAGAATATCGGTTTTTTCCTCGAGTCCATAAGGTGTTTGTTTATTTGTTTGTTGTCAACATTGATTTGAAAGATTCATGATGTTACTGTCTTTCTTTCTGTTTGTCTGTCTGTTTCTATATGTCCGTGTCCGTCTTTCTGTCTCTCTCTCTCTTTGTGTCTTTCGCTTTTTAGCTTCACTCTAATTTCATCAAGGACAATTAGTTGACAGAAAAAATTGACAGAAATATTTGTCAAATAAAAGATAACGTTTAGTTTTTGATAGTTCCCATACTGATAATGTTTTATTCTTACTTGTTGGTCTTACACCCCTTGTTCCTAATGATCCTGAGTCCATCAAAACGAATGATCGACGTCACAGAAACACATCCACTATCCGCACTCGTGCTTTGCAATTCACCGTAAATGTATTTCCGTTGTCTTCTTTTTTTTCTGCTTTCTTCTCCCTCTTTTTTTTAGCCTTCGAGTCATCAGAACAATCTTCTCTCGTCTCTATTTTCTTCTAGTCTCTCTACTACTCCCTTTTTTTTTATTGTCTCATTCACACACAAGCCACATTCCAATTACATAATTGGATGTCTCTTCATAGTCTATATATATATATATGTATGTATGTATGTACAGAGATACCCATAGGTTAGTCGTTCATATCAAGTGAGAATCTGATCTATCTTCATTCGATGACATGTGAAAAGTTGATCAATCTATCGCAGTTTGTTTCTCTAGAGAGATCATCTGAAAGTTCAATCTCTCTGATAATAATAAATCATTGAGTGAGAGCGAATAACATCGAACGGATGCTGATGATGATGTGCCACCCATCCCTAAACTAAGTTCTTGTTATTCCGAGAATGACAACGAGAAAGAGAAAGAACGGAAAGAACCAATTTGTAAAATGTATATAATATTATTCGTTCAGTTTGTCATATATTTATTTAAATTGATTAGACAAAAGAGATATGTAGTACTTCTAAATTTCAAGTATGTATATATATATTACTTTCTCACCTGTCCAACGAACAATTGCAGCAGCAATTTTTTGTCGGGAAGATGATCGTCGACGTGGTGGCATTCCGTGCGAGAAACTTTTTTAGATTGAGTGCAATACAAAAAAGAGTAATATAAAAATTGCCGAGTGCTGATCTGCTTATCGATTCGATTTGATCTCCTCGTTGACTACACTCTTTCTTCTCTTGCCTTTTTTCCCCTTTCTTCCACCAAGTTAATTTAAGCACGCTTGGGCAATCTATTAGCAAGGAGAATAAGAGGCAAACCGAGAGAAGATAGAGAGACACAAAATAGATATTCAGATGTTTTCATTATTGTAGACACTATCAGAATTACAATGTCACTTAATATCAGAATAAACATGAAACAAGATTTTCGTCCCTTGACACTATCGTTAATAATTGTCAAGGATTGACTGTCAATCTATTTCTACAGATTGTCTCTTTATGGAATTAACATCTGTTCTAGTACATGTCAATCTATAATACCTGTATTAGTATTGTCTAATGTATATCCAGGAGCATTGTTATATGTAGTTAATGGAGTATTTAAAGTTGATGCTGTATTTGATCGTCGACGTCGTTCATCATCTAATTTCCAGCCATGATGTTGTTTTACACCACTTCGCATGTATAGAATTTGTTAGGATTTTCTTTTGCTTATAATTTTGGAAAATATAAATTGGTTTTATTCTGTTCTGTTCTTTTATTCTGTTTTTTGGCTTAGCTGGATATAAATGCTAACATATACAGATTATCAGTAATTATTCATTATATATTCTGGTATAATGATGATGTTCGTAACGACCACTAAATGATTATTGTTGTTGTATCATATATAAAAAAAAAAGGAAGTCTAATAAATAAGATATATAGATAGAGAAGAAAGAGGGAAGTGTTACATCTGAGATTGTTACAAAAAGACATAATATTTTTTCTTCGAAATCTGAATTAAGAGCAAAAAAAGGGTGACGATCTTCCCGATCAAACAATAGAAGACATAGTTACTCTTCCTTTCTCTCAAAAGATTTCCTGCGGCTCTTTTTTTCTTTATTTCATCGGCATCTACACACTTGCTTTTTTGCACACGCACATTCTATCTAGACAGTTAGAACGGGCACAATACAAGCACACACGTTAATAATTCTATCTTCATCTTCCCTCTTATAGACATTTTTTTTTTATATAAGATTGATATTAGTTTATCGGCATAGCTCTTGTCGGTGACGACGGCAATAGCAAAATCATTCAACATCGTTGTTGTCGTCATCGTCATCACCATCATCATCATCATTTTTTCTAGAGAAGGGGAAGTTGCATAAATTGTTGCTTTTTCTGCTTTATATATTCTATGAAAAAATCAATGAAGAAGAAGAAGAAATATATGTATGGTGAACATGTCGATACACATTATAGCATATGATTACTATATAGAATAAGTTAAACGGATACCATGCTGAATGACATTCAAGAGCTTCATTCGAAAAGATTTCCAGATGGTTTAATGGTGTTATATTTGCTTTGACATAGCAAGATCAACAATTATTGTTATATGTTATAAATTGTTGTATCTGTCCGACGATATTGACAGAAAAAGAAATGATTTATATCCTCATTAACATATAACATTCTGTATCTTATATCGAATGGGTACATAAATATATATATATATTTCTTTACAATCAATTGATCGAATAGAAAAGACTTTAATTTCATATATATATATTTATAATCAATTGTCAATAAATGTCCTTGGGATAGACTAATGAAATTAGTTCTTTTATTTTCTCAAATAAATTGAATTTCTAGTTAAAGAACAATACATATGTTTAGATTAGTTTATGTTCATCAGGTTTATGATTAAATTCATAATCAATATGAACAAAAGCACGTTCGATTTCAGGCAATGATTCAAGTTTTATTTGTAAATTATTTCCAATATCATGTGCTTCTTGAATTTGCATTGTACCTGGTAGACCAATATCAACTAATGAATTAAATTCAATTAATATTATAATCTTAAAAGATTATAATTTTACCTTCAACAAGAAAATCAGTACCAAAATGAAATGCTTTAACCATATCAATTTTTGTAAGATATGGTGAAAAATTAATAGCAATCCAAGTTATTAATTTAAGAAAATCTGGTTCAGCAGTAACACCAGTTAAATGACGAATATGTTCTATTTAATAATACAATATTTATATCTTATAAGAACTATTTGAATATCTTTACTTGTAGCTTGATGAATCCAAGAAATAATAATATAAATAGAAATGATTATAGCACCAACTAATTAGAGAATAAGAACTGCAATTAAGAAAGTTTTAGTTTTACTTGGATCAATCATAATAAATCGTATATTGATTTGTTGAGAAACAGTTTGACCAGCTAAATAATTAATTGTAGAAAATTTTTGTATTTTATCTTACCAATAAGACCAGATATGAGTGCTATACAATTAGATAATATATCATTACGATGATCTTGTGCTAAAGCTTTAACTGTTTCTATTGGAATATTACGACATGAAAAGTATAGAATAATTTTAATCACTATACAATTGAAAACAAAAAGAAAATAAATAAATATCTTTTCCTGTTTTGACTATACGTTTATGTTGAAGAGGAAAAAGAAATCCGACATCGTATTAGTCATATATGCATTGGATGAAAGGAAATATAGTAATTATCGATTGACATTTATTTCCTACTTAAATAAATATGTTGGAATAGAGTTCCTATTCGAGCTAGAAAAATTTTTTTTAACGGATATAAGTTGAGTTTCAAGTACTGGAAATAATTTTTTGATGTATTAACGATATTAAAAAATGACTGACAGTAGTTAATAATTATTCTTGTAATAGCAATATAATTGAAGGTCAAATTTAAATATGTGGAAAATTATGGCAACTGAATAAATTTTCATAATATATAGTCTATCTTTCAAATTCTGTATGATTGAATGAAATGTCAAAATATATACGTCAAAAAAAAGATCCAATCATAGAGATAAAATAGTAGTATTTCTATAGTATTATTAAACATCGGGTTTTTGCTTATTAATTTCTTAAGTATTTCTCTAGTGGTTATCAATTTATTTCTGCTATTGACTGTTATCGCACAGAATGTTTCTGGATTTTTGATTAATATATCATAGATAAAATCTTGTTAACCTATATATGATAACATTATACAACATTCAAGTACATATCTATTTTCTTTTTTTTTTTCGTTTGTAAAATTCTTACTAATAGTTATACACATAATAATAATTGGAATAGGTTGTTTAATATTCATATTAACATCAGATATATCATTTGTATGATTTGTAAAATATTTTATATAAATAAATAATCTTTGAATAGCTTCAGAAAGTACTTGTACTGATGCTGAACACATAATAACAGAAAGTATAATAATAGCAACTGGTTCAAGTCGTTTACGTCCAGCAGGATATTTATATTGATTCCGATGACGTATAGCATGTGATGTCCAAAATAGAATTATACTTGAAATAAGATCAACAGCTGAATCAATTACACTGGAAATAATTGATAATGAATTTGATAAAATTGAAGCAAAGATTTTAATAAAAAATAAACACTAAAAATCTATATTGAATATTTTTTTTTTCTTTCTTTTTCGAAATTAATTACCACGTTAACAATAAGAGAAAGAGTTGTAAGAATTTTAACACGATTTTTAAGTTTTATTATACTTGGATCAATTATTTGTTGATTATTATCTTTAAGAATATTTTCATATTTATCAATAATATCATTTTGTCGTTTATAAAAATGTCTATGATAATTATAGTAAAAATAAATTAGATATGAAATTTTACTTCGCTCGTTTTGATAGATTTTTATTTTGAGATATATCATATCGTAATGAGAGAAAATGTTCGATTGAACCATATATTAAATTTTGATTTGATAGATCAACTAGATATATATTTATTAATATAGACATTTTGAATTGTTGCGCTTACGAGAATTCATTGATTGTTTGAAAGAATTTGCATTAATTATTTCTATATAATCGATGAATCAGTCAAGAAACTATTTTTTTTCTAGAAGAGAAACATATGAGTAATAGTCTATTCATTATATAAAGTTCTATATGCAACGTTTTTGATTATCAAATCTTATACTAATTTTCTGTATTAAACTAGACTCGTTATTATCAAGCTGATATAAACGTCATATATATAATGTTATTTCTATGAAGCTCTCTATCAGTTTCTCGTATTTATAATGCATGAAAAATTTCAAATAAGTGTAACGAAAAAATTGTTATTACAAATCAACGTGTATATACTCTCAACTAGATTTTTATGCATTATGCAATGATATTTTAAAATTTTATACTTTATTACACATAACAAATTTATGAAATAACAAACAGCATTGAGATATTAATATGTTCTCTTATCTATATTGTTGACATATGAATTCAATGTTTTTCCAACTTCTGATTAATACAATACTGCTGACCTTCTTTTATGATAAAGACTGTACTTAATACAGACTCCTATAATTATATAAATACAATCAGAAATTAATAATCGAACTTTTTTTCTATACCTATTCACAATGAATATATCATAAAATGCAACTGAACTTATATGAGTCTTCAATCATATCTCAATCTTTCTTTTTAAACAGATCATATACTATAATAGAAATTTCTTTTATTGTAAAATTTAATCTATATTAACAAACAAAATGAATAAATAAGAAAAAATATTAGCACCAGAATATATGTATATATATATATGATGAGATTGTATATTATATTTAAGAATTTGTTGGTTGAAATCTTTGTATATAAAAATGACAATTTGAACAATAAGTACTCATTTGATTTAGTTTTGAGAATCGTTTATGACATAGAGAACATTCTATTAAACCAATACGAAGATCATTTAATGATGATGATGGTGTATCGGAATCGGAATCTGATGATGTTTGTTGTTGATGAATATTTCTTAAAAATGAATGAATTAAATGTTCTGTTGATGATGATTCATTTGTATCATTGAATGTTGGAACAATTAATGCAACATGATCAGAAAACTTCACATTTTTCTTCGGACGAAATAATCGTCTTGTTGATGATAATATTGATGTTGTATTTTCATTGATTCTTTCTAGATTAGTTTTTATTGGAAAATAATTTAATTGTTCAATTTCAATTTGTCGTTTTTTTAACGAACGTATTCTTAATAATAAACTATTTTTTCTTGGTCGAAGATATGATAATAAACGAGTATTACAGCTTTGACTTAGATTAAGTATTTGATCAATTAGTACTAATGCTCGTTGACAAGATTCTAATGCAGATGAATAATTACTTGCACTTTCATATTTTACAGATTGTTCGAGATAAAATTCAATTGATGCTAATGACATATCAAAATGAGTATCGTCTAAATGAAAAAAATTCATATTTTCATAAATAAAATCCTATGAATTCCCAGTAGACATTCTGTCTATGGGCTCTGCTTTTTTTCCATTTTACTCATACTATAATTAAGAAAATAATTACACATTGATTTCAAAAAAAATATAAGGTTTCTTTCATTACTACAAATCGATTTTCTCTATATAAATAAAATGAAAATTATACGTAAAACGAATAATTCTCTTCGATCCTTAGTAGTTTAACAAAAAAAAAGAACTCATTTTGGTTAGACACTTATATATATGATAAATAGCATATAGAAAAAAACTACTTTGATGTATACTTTCCAATATAGACAAAACAAAACATTAGAAAGTAATGATTAGTCTCGAATATAAAGAAGGGAATCATCACTTTTATATTATAAATAAACATATATATGGAAGTACAGATGTTGATTGAATTAATTTCAACTTACTCATCATTTGTTCTGTTTGTTTAATTAAACTATCAATTTCAGTTGTTGTTTCATTTTCAACAAGACTATCTCTTGGACTATTATCAGTTGATTCATCATTAATACCACTACTTAAACCTGAATCACGTTGTGATGATGTTGAAGAATCTTCACTTGATAATGTTTCATCAGATTTTTGTTTTTGTTGATATTGTTTTCGAATATGAACAAGAGATGAAGATGATAATGATGTTACATCTAATAATGATTCTTTTTTTAATAATTGTTGTTGCATGACTTTAACAACTGTTTCTTTATTGATATAAGACGAATTAATTGTTGATTGTGGCATAAATAACATTGAAGAATTTAATGTTGCAAACGACGATATTTTTGAAAGATTTTCTAATGAATGTATTTCATTTTTATATTTATTTTCATGTAATTCCAATTGGTCTTGTTTTGTCATTGAATTTATTGAAGGTTCTAATCTTCTTTCGTCAGGTATAACTACAAATAAGAAAAGACGTAATCAGTTGGTGTTATTTTTCTAATCATGCGCGATAAATGACAAGAGAAGAAGAAGAAGAAGAAGAAGAGGAGAAGAAAAAAAGAACGAACAACGAGCTACATATTTGCCGTTCAGCACTGTTCTGCTTTCTCTTTTGCTCTCTTCAATACACAGATATCGTACTATAACAATAGCAATCGCTAAGCGAGATGGATAATTGTGATTGTGTAGACAGAACAAACTGTCCTATTAATGATGTAATCATAAATTTCAAGTATTTCCTTCAATTTTTCTTTTTTAATAAAAAATAAATAACTAATATTATTCTTACTGTTCTCTTGAATCACAGTTCGTTTAAGTAATTGAGTTATATCAACAGGATTTTCTTCTGAATTAACATAGATTAGAAGAAATGGTTGAAGATGAAAATCAATACATTTTCTTATAACTGATTTCCAATCAGTAATTATTATAACATTGCCATCAAAACAAAACAACCATTCTGATGTTGAATGTTCATAGGAAAAAAATACTTCAATTGAACCACCATAAAAACAAATGAGTCCAATGAGCTTTAATTCTTTAACATGATGAGTATCATTTATAGTCTCATTATAAAATAGCTATAAAAATAATAATAATAAAAAAAAGAACGAAATTTATCATTTTATTGTTTACCTCTCCTAGATTGATAAATGGATCAATAATCGATACGAGATCTTCTACATCACTTGTCGTACAATGAGCTGGATTCCAATAAATAGCGACAGGAACTAATAAAAACATATGTTTTACCTTTTTTTGTAGCTAAATATAATTAATCTTACTTAAATCTGGAATATTTTTTGATAATAAAATCTGTTCGATATGATTACTTTTCTTTTTTCCATGTCGAGCTTTTGAAGCTAGATGAAGAAGTTGACTAAATGATTTATATAAACATTTATGTTCATTTCGTTTAATTATTCGACTAAAAAAAAAAACTTTTTTTTTATTATATTAAATTTCAAACATTTATTCTTACCATATTGTTGTTGCATCTACTTGATAGACTGTTCGAGTAAATGTCGGTTTATTATTATCATGATCGATAATTTCTTTGATTTGAGAAAGACAATTGACATTGCCATATTGATGCTAAATATAAACATCATATATATCAATTGATAAATTCAATGCAAAAGAACACGTACCATTTGCATGAGATTCATCTGGTGAATATTAACATAGAAAAAATAAATCTGGAATAACCTTTTTTTGTTTTCTAGTCTGTTTTTATCAAAACTTTATCGTGACTACTCTAACTAAATCAACATACATACATTGTATATATGGATATCTCATCCATAAGCAAAGGTTAACATCAATTGACCGTCGGCGTTTGACAACGTTTTTTCTTTCCTCTTCTCTTACCTTCGAATCAACTATGTATTTGATACAGGTATGTACAGAGAAAGTAAAAAAAAGAAGAGAAAAAGAAAAAAAAAGTGTACAACTCATACGCATACATTCTCTTATTCAAATATTGAGCATACAAGATGTCAACGGACATTAATTCAGGTGTATTATGAACATACTCTGTAATTTTATTGGAATGTTTTATAATAAAAATAATAATTATTTTCAATGTTTTGCTTTTTTTGAAAAGTTTATTTTCTATTTATAGATATATCTTTGTATACTTTTTGACATATGTCAAATCGAATGAATTATGTTGCACATGAGAAGAGAGAGAGATAGAGAGATATTTACTCAATCATAAAATCTGTATAAACTACACATGTCAAGATGGATATCATTCTACAATAGGAGTGCTACAAATAACAACAACCAGGGGGTCTGATAAAGAAATATTATATAATAACAATACATAATTCATGGTGAATAGTAAGATTGACTTGTATAAATTATCAGTAGATTGAATATGTATAAGATTTATTCAAAAATAGGAAAGCGAGCGTGAAATCATATATATATATGAATGAACAATTTTTGAATTGAATATCCGTCTACTTTAATATGATATGTACATATATACGAAGCCTCATTGTGATAGCCTGAAGTCGAATCAATAGAAATTTTCAAAAGATTAATCCGAGCTTGCTTGCTTACTTAAATCGGATTTCCTCGTATTTTTTTTTGTTGCTTAGTCTTTCTTTCAAGTGAATATGTACAAATGAGTGATTTCAAGGATAAGAACACATAATTGTATAATATACTCATTGATCAACAAACAACCTGATGAATATAAAAGATGATAATCCTTGAATATCGTTCTTTTAATAGTAGTAGGTGGAAAGGTGAAAAAACAGAACAATGTATATATTATACACACTTTATAGCCTATATATATATATATATATTCATTTTTTTTAATTCATCATTTTTATGTGTATCGAAATAAATTTCTATATATATATGTATGACATTGAATATGATGAGATGTTTGATTGAAAAATTAACAATAGTATGGTACAAGGTTAATGTATAATGATCAAAAATTTTTTTTTATTGAATTGATACGAAAAACACATAAAGGTAAAGTATGTTATTAATTATTAACTATAGAGAAAAAAAAGATCTAGGTATAGAATATTTTTTTTATACTACATTAGAAAGATTTGTTATCTATAAAAGTTATATAGAATAATAAATATATTAGATTGAATGATCAATTGTAAATGTGATCGATCATAATCGATTGAAATACTTTTTTTTATTGTCAGGCAATTGTTCGTGTGTGTGTGTATGGAATGTAGTCAATTATAGTATAGGGAAATATACAAATAATGTGTGAATAATTTCTATGTGTATGAAAATGACAATAACAATCGAAATAGATTGAATGACAAAAACAACTAATGTGATTAAATAGAAATTAATGTTTATAGAATTGTACTGAATAGAAACACTACGAATTAATTCTAGAGATATTTCATATCAATGTATGATATTAATTAGTATTGTGATAAGAAATATGTAGAATAAATCATTGAGATATTGTTTTTATTGTCAAGAAAAAGCGAAATTTCTATAATATATATACAAAAAATTTTTTTTTATATAGAAGTTAACAATAAAATTTATGATCGTCGATAACATGCTCGTACCCATTGATGATTATCATGCTGTATTCGTAGGATTAAATCATGTAATTCGATGTAAGTTCGATCTAAATCATTATTAATTAAAATTTGATCAAATAATAAATTATAACGTCTTTCAATTGATCGACTTTTTTGTATAATTTCACGATAATCTTTATCAGTTAAATGTTCACGACGATCAAGTTCTAAACGTTTAAGACGTTCAAATGATGGTGCTGCTATACATATTATATATGGATAAAGATCTGTTTGATAAAATGTTCGTAATGCATCTGGATTTAAATTTAATATACAAATTTTTCGTTTTATTTCAACTATTTGCCGAATATCATCAATCGATGTTCCATATAAATCACGATCATATTGACCAAATTCAACAAATGAATGACATGCAACTTGTGCTAAAAAATCAGCTTCAGAAACAAAATGATAATCAATATCAGGTGTTTCTTGTAAACGACGAGCACGTGTTGTATGAGGTATAGCAACATCAAAAAGATGTGGTTCATTTTGTAAAAGACGACGACGTAATTCATGTCGACCAACATTTGGGGCACCTAAATATTAAAAAATTTAATTTTTCCACAATGGAAGACCCAGAAAATAAGAGAAGGGGTGGTGATCTATCGGAAAAGAACCGCCACGGGATGACAGCACTGGCGTAATCACTGGAGGAGCTCCCCCTAGGAAATTTTGAGATTCTCGCAGACTGTCAGACGTTCTTTTTTAAAAAAATACGAAACTGAATCCCCTACGGCAAAGTCCTGATTACGCCACTAGATGACAGTCGTGAGATCGGTATTACGATATTCTAAGGAGATAGAGTTCTTACCTATTAGAACAATTGGTCGTGTTATTTTTTGCGTTGATATATTAAGACGAAAAACAGGTTCATAAAAACGAAATGAATCATTTGTCGTATCTTTATTTTTTTCCGAAAATCTTTTTAATGTTTTTGATGATTGTTCTTCATCGAATTGTCTTGTATCTTTTAATGAAAAATGATTTGTTGATGTTCGTATCGTAGGTGTTTCTTTATCATTAATATCACGAATAAAAGATACATTATTATAAACGATTTGAAGTGGTTTTCGTTGTTGTTGTTCTTGTTTACTATTTACACAAGTGAAACAAGTTGTACTAATTTTTTTCTGATTATTAAATGATGATAATGGTGGTGATGATGTTAATGATGAAATTGAATCTGTATCATCCGAAATAGCTTTAAGTAAATCTGTACGTTTTTGTTGTAAACTATCCGATGGTATTAAACCAGCTAGACATGAATTGATTTCTGTTTCGATTGAATTTTCATGATATGCTTGCCACCATGTATAATTCATTTTTAAAAAATTTTCATCACGTGCAACAATACGTAATATATCACCACGTTGAAATTTTAAACCAAGTTCTTTACATGGTATTAATGGATCATTAAATGGATCATAGGTAAATAATGTTCGAACATGAAATATATCATATGAAATTTGATTTGATATTTTTGGTGGTGAAAGAAGAAATTTAATTAATCCGGTTGCATTTGACATTAATGTACAAACATAATCAAGTGAATGTCCTGTTATTGCTTGATCATTTATTTCAAGTATACGATCATTAATTTGAAAAAGTTGTGTACTTGCTGCAAGACTACCAACAACAATACGAGCTATATGTATTGTACCTGAATCAGTACGTGATATTGTTAAACCTAATGGTTGATGATTTTTTTCAATTTTAACAATTTTTATTTCATCAATTTCATATTGAGATAATTTTTTTAATTCGTCATTTTCATGATTATTATTATTATTTATTATTATTTCTTCATTGTCTGGTAATGCAGATGGATAACAATGTAATTTAAGAACATTATCAAATACATTTAAAAGACTTTGTATTTCTGTACGACGTAATAATGTTAAACATGTTTTAAGATCATTTAACATATCAAATAATGATGGAGATGTTGCTCTTGTTGTACTGAAAAATAAAATATAGAAAGGAAGTGGTCAGTTTTCCATAGATTATACCCCCCCCCCCGCTAGATTTTTTTTCTTTTAATTATTTTTTTGTAGTGAACGATGTGTGGATACTAGATCACCGAACCAGACCGTGGACTTTTTTAGTCTTCGCAAAAAAAACAATATTTTTAAGAAAGGGTCAATTACATAGAAAATATCGAAAAAATAGGTAGTATTTAGAAATTTTTATTGCCAACAGTTGATTTTTATGTAAAATAACTATCATATTCGGAATCAGCATGAAAAATTGACTCGTAGGAGGGTGCGGCACAAATTTTATATAATAAAAGGTTGAGGGGGAGTAGGGGTTAATTTTTCATGAGAAATATTTTATAATGAAAAGTTGAGTTTCTGTTGTATTTTTTCATGCTGATTCCGAATATGATCGTTATTTTACATAAAAATCAACTATTGGCAATAAAAACTTCTAAATACTACTTTTTTTTTCGATATTTTCTATGTAAATGGCCCTTTCTTAAAAATATTGTTTTTTTTGCTGAGACTAAAAAAGTTCACGGTCTGATTAAGGGGTATATTGACCAGTTCCTTTAAATCTTTTGAATATATATCTTACTTATCATCGAATAGTTTTGTTTCTGCATCGGATAATTTATTTTCAATTAAATCAACAAATTCATTAACTATTTCTTTAAAATCTTGTCCATTATTTGTAATATTTCGATATAATTCCATTGAATGATCATTATTATTATTTGTTATCAATGGTAATAGATGACAACTTTGTTGAGCAATTTCACGTAAAAGATCCATACCTTCTTGAATAGAATTATTTGAAAGTTTTATACGATCTAATGTATCATCAGTTGATATCGATAAAATTGGTGATGATAAAGACATTTGTGTTGTACTTGATAAACTATTACTATCACTCGTTGATTCTTTAGGTATTAAATCATTTATATTTTTATTTTGTATACTATGTCGAGATGATAAAGTACAATAAGCTTCATCTAATGTTTGAGTATCGGGCGATAATCGATTTAAACGACGATCAAGTAAACAGGATCGTTCATATGTTGTAGTAAATTGTTTGTTCTAAAAATAACATACATACAAAAGGAGACATTGTTGACATGAAGTAAATGAAAGATAGAAGTATTTAATTGTAAACGAAAGCCTTGAACTGACTATACTAAACGAATAAGAATGTTGATTTAATGTAAAACATTACTTACGAATGATTGAAGACGTTGTAATTCAATACATTCTTTATCTGATGAAACAATTTCATGTTTAATTGTATCTTTAGAAATATGAAAGTCATTTGGAACATCAACTAAATATTCATATAGAAAAAAAAAAGATTTTTTTCTTTTAAAGTATATATATATATATTTACTTGCTCGTTCACCACTAAGCCATTGAATAACTCTTGTTGTTTGATAAGTCATATCATTATTAAGTCGTCCAACCATTTTCTTATCTTATCAAATTTGATTAAACAATTTTAGTCTAAGATTTTTATAAATTAAACTAATGTTGTCTGTCTTGTTGTTATTAATCCTATATGTACATCGGTCATTGTTGTATGTTAGAAATAAATCTCAACTGTTGTCACTTACCGTGAACTGAGGAAGAATAAGAAGGAAAGTGTCAACCTCTTGCCCTTTTTCCCTTATGAAATGAACGAAGGTGAATATGATGTTAATGAGTCATCCGTACAGGAAATGAATTGTTCAGCGTTCCGTTGCTTTCGTTCTCTTTTGTTTTTGTCGAAATTTATGTATACATATGTGTCGTGCATAGAAAAGAAAAAAAAAATCTGTTTTCTTCTATTTTTCTTTTCATTGATTGTGAGAATGTGATTGTGAACAGAAGTAAAGATGAATAGAAAGACTCTCAAGTATAATATGAAAGTAAATGTATTTACATAGAAGCACTATAAACAAATCTATTGATATTATTTTCGATATTTGACAATTGTTTTCAATTTAAAATACAATATCGTGTTAATACATGACAAATCCATATGAAAATACCTCAATGTTAAGAGAACAGTAATTAATGCAATTTATTTAGTCCTTCGCAAGTTTACTTCCTTTAGAGGAAGTGTCGCAAAAGTACAATTTCGACTTTTTCAAATTTCGAGATAATTAAAACGCAAATAGTATGAAATGTTAGTTGTAAATTTTTATGAACAAATAAATTTAATCGTTTAACACTCTATACAAAATAAAGGTTTATTCATTTGCAATAGAGGTTTCATAGTTATATATCATGTTCTCTCGGTTAAATATGTTTTCTTTATTAATTAAAAAAAAAATTTCATACAATATTAACAATGTTTATTGTTTATTGGCCACGAAAATTGGAATTTTGAATTTAATATTATCTGTGAAGAATCCATCTACACAACACTCAATCTTAAATGTATAAAAGATATGAATCTCGCTGTTTGCATCAGATTCAACTGAATAAGAGTACGTAGGTGGCAATTCTAACATGCTTCTTGATATTGGTAGCACGAGTTTCTCATGAAAGTACTTCTCTGTACACTTTGATATGTCAGGGATTGTTGAATCGACCAGGACTGTTCGATTTTTATATTGCCCAAATTCACACTTTTGCACAAACTGATATTTGATTTCGGTTATTTTTTGTCTTTTTGAATTTTCGATGGTAATTTCGAAGGATAACTGTGGTTCATCAGACAAAACATAACCAGGTTTCATCTGTATACGGACAGATAACCCGTCTCGATTACTACCAAATGATTCGATATTAGTTCGGTCCTTCGGTGGAAAAACACATGGGAGCACGTGAATATGTAACTTTTGTATATCTTTGGGTTTTTTTTCTTGACGAATGTATTCCAATACTAAATAGTATTCAATGTAACCACGGAGCGGCGCAGGGGTTCCACATGTGGATGGTGGTAAGCCATCAGGTATTTCGAATGTAAAAGCGAATAAGATAGAGTCCGCGTCAAATGTTTCTGTGTCAATCTATAAGAACAAAAAAATTTAGACAAGATCTATATTCTCCTTGAGAGTTTCGTGCAACACACGATTTTTAAATTTGGTTACTTACCAAAGACATATTTTTAGTATTTGGTAAAGCGAGATTTATCGCTCGTTTGTACAGTATTTTATTCTTGGTAATTTCCCTTAGACCGATACCGTCAGCGTGGACGAGATCAATCTTGCTCAAATTGACAATAAATGATAAACATAAATCTTCAATCGAGATTGATTGATCTGTGTGTAATACCAGTTTGCCTGAGATTGTTTCATTGTTCCAGTAAAAAGGTTTTCCATCATTTGCTTCTAATAGAATTTCAGCTGAAGGAAGATTCGTAGTTAGCCAAGAGAACATCACGCTGCGAAATACAAAATGAATGACGATGTGCAAAAAAATAACGTCTGTTATTAATTGAATTTACTCACAAATAATATTCAAAAATTGTTAGTCATAGACGTCACAGTCTATATTTACACAGAAATTATTAAGATTGTGGTGACAATTGGTAACTTCCAACTATTAGTAATAATGACAACAATTGATAATTTCCAGCCATTAGTAACATATTATTATTATTACCGTTTTTCTCCTTCGAAATCGTCTTTCTATGTGAATGATGGGTTATTTCACACGTGTCTCGTTTCACATCACTGACTCGCATTCTATTTTCGTCAGTATGAAATTGTCAAGATATAATTATTGTTTTCATATTCATGTGGTTGAGTTTAAAGAGAATAAATAATTCAAAACATATCATACGACGTTTCGTCTTTGCTTAAGGGTACCATCATCAGTTATTGTTTAAGAATAATTTGATCAATCGATTTGATGAATCATAATAAAGAAAATATAACTTTTAAATGAAAAAAATTATTACTAGCATGAAGTAAAACTAAAAGAAGAACCTGTTGTACTGTTCGAGTTCAATGTTCTTTGTTTGATATGATTTATATTGAATACGATATATGTACGATTTTTTTTTCAGTATTTTCTCGAAAGATATAGTAGAAAATACGAATTATAATATTTATCGAAAATGATTCGGCGTTGAATATCTAAAGCGTTTAGAACAATATGTTTGTTCGTTCATTTTTGTTCACCATTGCAGATGATGTCGATCGAGGATGAGTTCAGATAGTAGAATATAATGACGCGTTTCGTCCTAATTTCGAGGACTCATAAGGCGGTTTTTCAAAATTTTTGTAAGAAATCCGAATGAAGCGCGGAAATAGGAATTGGGTTTGATTGCTGTCTACGGTAATAATTATTTATATAAATGTAGGTGTGGACGGATGGGTATGGTTGTGAGTGGGTGGGGTGGATGTGGGTGTGAACGTGAATATTACCTTTGTACCATCTACTCACATCCACCTACCCACACCCATAAACAGACAGGAAAAATAAGACGAGTTAAAAGTGAATTAAGGAATAAATCGTCCAGAATAGATGATTGAAGTCGAAATAGACGACTAACCTTGTTTCATTCAACTTTACCTGAATTCACTGTTTCAGTGTGTTTGACCGCAAAGACGTGACTTAACTCTATTTTAACTTTTCTAGCTATTCTATTGGTTAGTTCAGTTTTATTTTTTTTCCCGTACAAATGTGGTCATGTACACCTCTTTTTCTCTCTCCTTGTTGAAACAGAAAATGAAGAAGGGTCAACCATCGGTTTTCTTATTCGACTATCACTATAAGGTCACATAGGTCGCTCATCTGCTAAGTGCACACACATTTATTTAGTTGCTTTTGTTGAAAAGATTTAGCACGAAACTCAAAACCATTCCAAGCAAATGTACGTAGTTCCATCAACAAACGTGTAGCATATTTTTATTGATTTTGTTTATAAAGTAGAATAGACCGGAAATAAAGTTAGAGAAGCAAAGATAACTATGGTCCTCAAGTG